TTACTCATTGATATCTTCTTTGATGGTGTCTTCGATGGGAACCTCTTTTCGGGCACTCTTTTTGATGTGAAACACAGGCTTTGCCAACACTTCGCGCAACTTATCGTCCGGTTTGCCAAAGATATCCTTCGACTTCAGCGTTTGGATCAATTCATTGAGATTATGTTTGGCGACAACCACTTTGTCGTCACTCTTTCGCCGGCCGTCATCTTCGGTTGAATCTCTCTTATGGGACGCGTTGTCGACAACGCTATCCTCTTTAATGGTCACACTTTTATCATTATCTTTATCGCTATCGTCGGTAAAATGTCTTCTGTTGGCCACCAATTGGCACCAATTGACACACTTCTGGCGATAAACCCTTTAATTCACGAAAACATTGTTATCAATGGTTTTTGTTTCGCAAAGTTGTGCCAAAACTTACAGCAAATGAACGCTTTTTATATATTTCCTTAAATACATTGCATTTCTATTGTATATTAAGTCAATTACACCACAAATCAAACACTTTTAATAAATATAAAACTTATTTCAGAATTAATTTCAATCAAATTATAATTGCATTCAAAACATGTGTTTTTCATTTGTAAACAAATCCCAATTCACAGCCCATTCACACAATACGTACACTATATTCACGCCCTTTGCAAACAAGACTACAGGACTACATGCCTATCGGCGGTGAAGTTTGCCACTCCGGCCAACACATGCCCACTCTATTACACGCCAACACTTTTCACAGATAATTAGATTTGAAAAACAATTTAGATTTTATTTGTAAATAAAATTTGAAATAAAATACATATCAATTCTAAATGTAAATAAAAAATTAATAAATTCTACAAAAATAACATTCATTTTTTATAAAATTGTTTTGAGAACATATCGCAGTATAAGAGCCTCTCTTCGAGTCGTCCGATTTCGATGGCCTGCGGACTGTCGTAGTCGTCGGGAACCGAATAATTGGTCAACAATTTAATAGCTTTGGAAGTCGTGCGAAGACAATCGGCGGCGCCTTTGATACTCTCTTCGACGGAGAGGTTAGCGTTGAAGAACTCGAACTCCAAATCACTTAATTTGATCAATTCGTTGCACATCTCGACACTCGAGTCGCCGAACACTTCCACAACAACGTCAACGCTCTGTCGCCCGAAGTCGAGCGCTTTTGACCACTCGTGTTGTCGGGCGTAACACCGACTCAACTCGTCCTTTACTCGTCCCAACTCTCGATTCTTGGCGTAAAGGACTTTCTCGAAAGTGTTGAGCGCATCCAAGAGTACTGCCTCTGATTCTGTGTACTTCTCGTTGTCACACAGTTTGGATCCATCGCTCAACAGTTTAAGTCCTTTTTCCACTTCTTTAAGCATCGATTTGATATCAAAATCACTTTTCTTGCAATTAATACAAACGACAGTATCTTTTGCTTCGTCAACAACAATGGCTTCTTTGCATTGACTACACATTAAAGCAGAACTCGTGTCTTCAGTTTGACTCAAACACGGACTGCACTCGCATTTAAAGAAGTATTGCTCCAAAAGAGCCGTTTGCCGGTCTTTAGTGGACATACGTTTACAGTGAGGGCCGTAACAGTTCATCACTTGCTGTCCTTTGGCTATTGGTTTGGCGGCTCTCACTATAAGCATCTTCTTGTCGTAGAGGGAAATCACATTTGGATCGCACGAGTGGTTCATTAGACTAACGGTCGGATAAATAGCGGTTGCGATCCGTTTGTCCTCAAAACTCAAATCGGAAGTCATCTCAAAAGAAGCGATTGAATGACCATTTGTTATGAGTTGAAGGATGTGTTTGAGTAATATTCCTCCCAATAACTCGAAACTTTGCGATTCTTTAGGAATTAATCGCAACTTTTGTGTCAAAAGCAGAAGAAGCGATGCGACCAATGAATAGCTGATACTGTCTTCCATCGCAAAGTCGTTCGAGTGGTCGACCAAAGCGTATACCGACTGATAATCGCTTTTATAAGGAGTGGACGACGACTGGGAAGAAGAGGAATTGTTGGCCACTTGGATGGAATTCTCGACTCCACAGACCAATAGGGTTCTGAAGGCCAAGTGAGCGATTCCTATGTCATGTAAGACATCCAGATATCCGCACTCGTATTGATGGCACTCATCCCAGCCATCAGACCGGCACTCATCGCTGCTTTTAATTCTGTAAATATATGTTATATTTTCTTGAAAAATGTGTGTGATGCAACACTATCTTCAGAAGTCTGGTAACCAAGAGGTAACCAAGGTAAACAACATTACAAACAAAATAACTCGACTTTAAAACCTAGAACTGTGATATTGAAACATGGTTAAATAGCCAAAATGATTGTTTAATGTCCATTAATAGTGTATAAAATTTGCAAAATCATCTTGAATAACTCCTAACAAGTGTCCACAAACTGTCTGCGAGATAATTGTATTTAATACCGATAGCTCACACACAGCTATGATATACGTTAACCACAATTCGGGTGATGCTTAAAGAATAGATTAGCACTATCTACACATTTAATATGAGTCCCATAGACTTGCCATATAATCGCTAGTATTGCCCATAAGATAAGCATTAGTCTCTTAGTTGTTAGTAGTGTTCCCATGAATTACAAATGTAGCTCTCCCATTTGTTCGCATGTAGTCATTGGAAAAGAATTACGTTCGCATGTCCTTATTAACCCCTCCCCCACCTTTAAAAAATAAAATACCTTGTAAATTTACAAATAATTTAATTAAAATTAAACCAATCGATCAAATATGGGTGCATTGCTCACTCCCTTTCGGTCAGTCGCCGTACAAACCTTAATGAAGGCCACATGTAATTAGAGATGTTAGTAGTGAAATTTTGGGAACGTTTAGGGCTAAATTTAGCCCTAAATTTAGGGAACGTTTAGGGGTCTCGCTGAACATTTAGGCTAAATGTTCAATCACTCTATATTAGCGATTTGGCTTTTTCCCAATACTTGCGATGTTTTGCGGCCGAAGTGACGCTCAAGAACTGATCCAATTGTTTGCCGACGTGTGGCTGTGAGAGACAGTGCGACACTTTGTCTTCATTGGTGGACAATGTGTTCAAGTGTTGGACGAAGTGATCATTGGTTAGCAATGATTGGCTGATCTGATGGCAAACATAACTCCAATTCATATGAACTGACATTTCGTTTCCAATGGTTTGGTCTTTGGATTCAAAATAAATTCACGTTTTGTTCAAAACATTATTCAAAACACAGATTACGTGACATTCGCTCTACGCTTGCATTCACTCAACAATACATCACATTTTCTGCCCCAACACTGCCTTCACTGCCAAACTGTTTGTATGCATAACTGTTTTTCTGTATTGCAGACAAATTATATGTAACTTAGAGGGGGCTCTCAATTAGATGACAAAATATGGTGAAAAGTGGTAACGATTATTAATAGAGATGTTAGTAGTGAAATTTTGGGAACGTTTAGGGCTAAATTTAGCCCTAAATTTAGGGAACGTTTAGGGGTCTCGCTGAACATTTAGGCTAAATGTTCAATCACTCTATATTAGCGACATCTGTATTTTACATATTTACTACATAAATCACTAATTTATGTAATTTAATCTAAATTAATTCTTATTATGTAAAAATAATTTATTTAACTACTAATCACAATGTCTTATTTATCATTAATATATTATTAGTTTGCAGAATCGAAATTTAAAACTTATGTTTTAAGTAAAATATTCATAGAATTGATAGCAGAATATTCAAGAATTTGTAAGAATCTTTAAATAATTTAAAATATCCAGAGAACCAAAAGAATTTTTAGTATTATTTAAAATGAAACATGTCTTAATTAGTTTGTTTATTATATATTTCACCACATTAAAAGAATCTAGTTGAAAAACATATGAACATTTCACATTTTTGTGAAAATTTAGTCCAAAATTTCAAAATTTAGCCTAAATGAAATGTTCAAATGAAAATTTCACTGAAATTTTCATCCCTATACATTAAAAGAATCTAGTTGAAAAACATATGAACATTTCACATTTTTGTGAAAATTTAGTCCAAAATTTCAAAATTTAGCCTAAATGAAATGTTCAAATGAAAATTTCACTGAAATTTTCATCCCTACATGTAATGGCTTTGGGTTTAAATGAATATTTGGCATTTAAATAAATATTTTAGAAAATTGCTTTCACTCTTAAATATAGGTGGCGTAACTATGAAGCCTTGTAGAATTGTGAAATTAGTTTCATAAGTTAAGTTGTCATCCCATCCGTCGGCACCACAATCCAAGTTCTGATCCCTAATGAAGAAAAACTTTTTTCAAATTCAAGATTTTATCAAATTTATTAATTTTATTGTTGGTCTTTTATTTGTTATATTTATTCAAATTATTTATAAAAGATAAATATCTTTATTATCTATAAAAAAAATTCCCACTAATTCTTTCAAACCAATTAAATGACATTTTGTTTCCACATAAAGGAAAATATTACTTTATTTATTATTGAATGTAAAAGAAATACTTTTAAAGAATGATAGAATTTTAATAAGAATTTTTCTGTATTACACTATAGCTGTGCAACTTTTATAAAATATTAATCTTTTACTATTACTGTTTGTTATTAATATTTGCTTTTATGCTATTTTATGTATTTAATATTTTGTTAATATTAATAACAAATGATAGTTTTAGTATAAGCCTGTCCAATGTGTTTTTAGTATATCACAGGTACAGATTCACAGTATGGCATAAAAAGGTGGCGCAACGGTCAGTAAAAAAGTTTAGGTTTGTCAGTATTAAGC